TGTCAAGAGCTTTGTAATGTTGTGAACAACCAATTAAAAAAAAGAAAAATGAGAAATTATATCCCATCTGATTCAAATGTATGATATGTCAAGGTCATTGTACTGTCATGTGTAACTAATTAAAACAAATAAAAAAATTTAAAAAAAAATCTAATCAGAGGAAAAAGCAAGTCATGTTAAATAACAAAAATGGCTGGGAATACAAATCATGTCTCAATAATAACCCTGAATGTTCATGGCCTAACCTCACCAATCAAAAGAAATAGATGAGCAGATTGGATTTTTTAAAAAGACCAAACAATACACAGCCCCCAAGAGACTCAGCTCATAGGAAAAGACATTCACAGACTGAAGATGAAAGGTTGGGAAAAATCATACCACTCACATGGATTGCAGAAACAAGCAGGGGTTTCCATCCTCATAACAAATAAAGTGGGCTTCTAACTAAAGTCAATCAAAAAGGATAAAGAAAAACACTACATACTGCTCAAGGGAACCATACACCAACAAGACATAACCATTATAAATATATATGCCCCAAACAATGGATCATCTACGTTTATCAAACTCTTCTCAACTTCAAGAGTTAAATAGACAACAACTCAATAATTTTGGGTGACTTTAACACACCTCTTTCATCGCTAGATAGATCTCTCTAACAAAAGCTGAACAAAGAAACTATAGAACTCAATTATACAATCAATAATTTAGACTTAACTGACATATAAAGAATATATTCTCTCTAATGAGAGAATATATTTTCTTCTTGAAAGCATATGGATCCTTCTCTAAAATAGAACATATGAAAATCAATAACATTGATAAACCTTAGCCAAGCTAACAAAGACAAAGAAAGAGAAAACTCAAATTACTAAAATTCACCATGAAAATGAAAATATCACAATAGACACTACTGAAATACAGATGAAAATCACAAGCTATCTTAAAAATTTATACTTTAATAAAATATAAAATTTGGAAGACATAAAAAAATCTATAGCGACATGTTATCTACCCAGATTGAATCAGGAGGACATAGAAAATTTAAACAGATCCATTTCAAGCAAGAAAATTGAATGCTCCATCAAAAGCCTACCAAGAAAGAAAAGCCCAGGACCAGACAGATTCTCAGCTGAGGTCTACAAGACCCTCAAAGAAGAATTAAAACCAATCCTCTTCAAGTTATTCCATAAAAGATAAAAGGAGGAAACACTTCCAAACTCATTCTGTGAAACTAGTAACACCCTGATGCCAAAACCAGACAAAGACATATCAAGGAAAGAAAATTCAAATCGATATCCCCCTCATGAACATAGATGCAAAATTTCTTAATGAAATACTGGCAAATCACATCAGAGAACATATTAAAAAGCTAG